TTGAAGTTTTCGAGCCGCTTCTTAGTTGCGAAGCGGCTCTACAAGCGGCGGGGCTGGCGAAGCTTCAAAAGGCACCGCCGCCGCCGAAGACGAGGAAACCGGAAGTCCAAAAAAAACACTTTTAAAAGGCTCTGACGATCCCAGCCAAGTTGCCTGATCGTCAGAGGCTTTTGTTTTCTTTTAAAAGCATTTTAAAATGCCGAAGAGGTTTTAGAAAAAATGCTTTTAAAAGTAAAAGAAAAGCCTCTGATGATCGCACAGTTCAGTTGAGCATGGGGGATTTTTGCTACTGGTTCTCTGAACCACCCACCACCATCGCTACTGGATTAGGCAATCTGGTCCAAACCGGGAGCATTTCACCCCTGCTCCATATGTGTATATACAAGTACACACACACACACACACACACACACACAGAGAGAGAGAGAGAGAGAGAGAGAGAGAGAGAGAGAGAGAGAGAGAGAGAGAGAGAGAGAGAGAGAGGTAGGTAGGTAGGTTACATGCAGTTATGTATGCAGGTTAATATTTTATACAAAAGGACACTACTGAATTTTTAAACTACTATTGAACATTAGTTTTCATAAAGGAATTATGAAAAAAGGAACAATTATTTAATAATATCTGCATAAGAAAACTGATAATCACTGAATTCAGAGAGATATATTTGATAATCAAATCATTTTGGGCCCTGCATGCTTAAAATATTTGATTTATTTTCATTCAATTGTATTTGCCATAAGGCCTATAGGGCCTTCTGACAATGATAATGCATAATAAAAACAAAACAATATATATTTAAAATAATAATACAAATTGTAAAATGTGTTTCAACTTCATTAGTTTCCCATTATTTTCTTTCCAGAAAACTGTACTCTAGAATCCCCTAAACGTTCCATTACACAGAAGTGAGGTATACATTCATATCAATATACTGTCTGCCTAAATGGATTGTTCATCCTAAACAAAGACGTTTAGAAAGAATGATGCAATAATAATAACAACAATAACAATAACAACAATGACAATGACGATGATGATGATGATGATGATGATAAAAAAAAAACAACGGCACAGAGCCAAACAACTATCGCCCAATAACTTGTCTGCCAACAACATTCAAACTTTTTACAAGAATACTGGCAAATTCAGTATTCAATCATCTGATGGAAAACAGTTTGTATCCAGTAAAACAAAAAGGAAATTATAAAAAATCAAGAAGAACAAAAGATCAGCTACTCATTGACAAAATGGTACTAAAAAATGCAAAACGAAGAAAAACGAATTTAAATATGGCATGGATTGATTACAAGAAGGGATTTGACTCATTACCCCCAACTTTACATGGGCATGGCTTAAGATGGGAACCATCAAGAAAAAAAAAAAATACTCGCTGCTCAAGAACAAGCACTACAAACTAATGCCATGAAAGCAAAGATACAAAAATCCACTGACAATCCAAACTGCAGACTTTGCAACAACAAAGTTGAAATTGTTTCACATTTAATATCAATGTGCAGCAAAATCACACAAACTGATTACAAAGCTAGACACGACCGAGTTGCTAAATTAGTCCACTGGTCATTATGTAAAAAATACGACTTTCCTGTATCCAAAAAGTCATGGGAACATAGAGTGGAAAAAGTTATAGAAAATGAGAAGGTGAAGATCTTGTGGGACTTTCAAATACAGACAGATCGTCACTTGGAACACAACATGCCAGATATCACATTTATTGACATCACAGTACCAGGAGATGCCAGAGTTGAAGAAAAAGAACTGGAAAAATAATGAAATATTGTGACCTGGCCATCGAAACTACACAGCTATGGATGAAACATGTAACAGTGATACCCATTGTCATCGGGGCACTTGGTACCATGTCCAAGAATTTTATAACATACATCAGCAAATTGCAGCTTCCTGCAATAACACCAGCAGAACTGCAAAAACTGTGCTACTTGGAACATCATACATCTTAAGAAGGTACTTGGTTGATACCTAGGACGCTGGCAGCAACCCGTATCAACCATTAGCACTAGTCAATGGTATTTGTGATGCATTTTTGAATGTTCAGTTGACTGAGTTTCATATTTAATGAATAAAGATAATAATAATAATAATAATAATAATAATAATAATAATAATAATAATAATGGCAAACTCCTTTCAGCAGCAATGATACAACTATGGGGATGGAAGATGGGGATATACCTAGCTGTAAAATCCAAAAACGGGTGGCTAGTCAAGTAAGAGAGAAGATCCCACCAAAGCACTGCTCATCCCTTGATTTCTAGTTTTATTTTATTTCCTGTTAATTTTAATGCTTTTATATTTGGGTTTTTATTGTATTGTAACCTACCCAAAGTCACTTTGCATAGTGAGATGGGCAACATATAAATCTAATAAATAAAATAAAATAAAAACAATTAAATTTAATCCAATTTTGAACATTAAAAAGTAATGTTTTTCACAATGTATTCCCAAAATGCAGCCTTAATATTTGGCTGTTCATGATTATTGTCCATGGAGGAAGATGCCATTCAATTAGTTCACTAGATTTTCAAATAATGTTCAGGTTAGAAAAGTACATTGCTTATTTCACTTCATTTAGATTCAGAGTAATATACAGTCCTGAGTGGCAGCACTTGGGTGATTTCATCTGAGCTCAAAAACACAGTCTAAATCATAATCCTAGTTAGTCTTGAATGAGAGATTTCCAAGGACTGTGGTAGCACAGTGGTTAGAATGCAGTACTGCAGGGCTAACTCACTGTTCACTCCACGAGTTCAATTCTGAGCAGCTCAAAGTTGACTCAGCCTTCCATCCTTCCGAGGTTGGTAAAATGAGATCCCAGATGCAGATTCTGTAAACCGCTTAAAGTGGGATGTAAAGCACTGTAAAGTGCTATAGAGGTCTAAACGCTATTGCTATTGCTATAGCCTACACTGGAAAGCCATATAAACGTCTGGGAAGATGGCAATGGTAAATCATTACCATACTGCTGGTAAGAAAACTACATGGATTCAAGAATCATTTCACAAGAAGTTAAGTTTGATAAAGGAGACAATCTTATTGGATGACAATACATGTTTCAAGCAAATATATGATATGTTCTTAAGTTCCTATTATTAAGAGCACTATCACAAGGGCATCTATGGGTGGGTGAATTGTTTAAAAAGGCAAGAGAGTGGCCACAACTTCATAGTTAAAGCTATCATCTTGGCTTTTTAAACTCTTAAAAGGCCCCTGCACTATTATTTGTTAGCATAGTGTTATATTTTTATATTGTTTTAAAAGTACTCTCTGTTATATGGATTAACTGTGAAGAAAATGGATCACTATGGATAAGGAAAGTAACAGTAGAAGCAGCATATTAGAAATAATAAGACATTCCATGTTTTAGCCAAATATTATAGTGATAATCGAACTAGGTAGGCAACTTTTCTTTTTAAAAGTTGGGTGGCACCTGCTTGAATTACAATATACTTTTGTACAACTCATGGTTTCCATATTTTGCATTTACTTTTATGAATGCCATTTAGTATGAAAAATACCAATAATATTAAAGGAAGAAATCAATTCTGCTGTATCGATGGGCTGGGGAAAAGGATTGCCTTTACATTTACTGAGTTAATTAAAAAACCCTCAAAAGCTGTTTTAAAATATTCTCACTGACAGTTTGATCAATCTTTAAAGACGTCGCCAACCTGCATTGCCACTTTTTAAGGTAAGCTGGCTCTTAAAAGCTATTTATTAAAGCTTAGACCTTTATGCCTTGGCACAACACAAAAGTTCAAACCCATCAGAACAAGATTCAGCAGTCCGTCTGCATTTGACAGACAAAGGCCACTCTTTTGAAGACAGCAAAGTCCACTTTTTGGATACAGCGGACCATGAGTTTGAGAGAGGGGTAAAAGAGGCCACAATTTACAATTTACAGTTACAATTGAACAGCCTTCAGAGGGGGAGGAATATGATACTATCTATCTCCTGTCTATATCACAGTCCTTTCAGCAGATCCAAGAAGATTCCACACTCATTTGCATTCTAATTCAGGTGATGCTGAGGATCAGATAAACCCCCCAAGTTGCCTCAAAGTCTCTCAGAGAGAATACTAAGGACCAGATGACTGCAAAGAAATACAATCATTCCATTCCCCCTCCCATCAGAACTAATCCTCCCATCCTTTCCACACCATCCAATCAGAACTGATAAAGCTTCTTCGATGAGAAGCAAAACGTCTTCTTCCTCAAGGAAAAAAGATACTCAAGTTGCCTTTTGAAAAAGCACCTTTGTAACATTCTGGCTAATGGTTCTTCATTAGTGCTAGGTAGAAATCAAGGGAAAGAAACAAGTGAAATTTTTGCATGTAGCTGGAAATTAGTCTATCCTCTTTAAAAAAGTTGTTATACTTGGTATACTTTCTGCAGAAAAAGTATAATCCTATAGATTCCATTCCATTAGAAATATGAATTCTAGGAAACTTTTGGAATGTTATTATTTATATGAAATTTCATTTTATGCCAAGTAAAATCTATGTAAAAGATGGAATCACCTATATTTCTCATATTCAATTTTGAAGTGAATTGTACATGCATAACAAAATGCTGTCTGCAGAAACAGGATTATCTGGCCTAATTAAAGAGATTTTGGAAGAATGATTTTAAAAAGTTATAGGATCTCTTCGGCAGCAGCAGCACAAAGTGTGGGAATGGAAAACAAGGATAGGACATGACTGGAGAAGCCACACTATGGCCTACACATAGTTTCCTGTAGCAACTATTTGGTTTCCCAACAATTTCACATTATATTGTTGCAATTGAGTAACGCAGCTAATTATTGTGTGTCCCATGTTGTGGTTGATCAAGGATTTTACCGGTGGGAAAGACAAGAGTTTTCCCTTCACAGGCTTCTACTTCCCACACTTCAATTCCTCAAGTAATAAGATAGAAAAGGTCTCAAATTATTTGCTAACTATACAGACAAAAAGTATTAACTACCTTTTTAAATTCTTCTTGGAGGCATTTGCTATTGCTTTCTGAAGCTAAGCCTGATTTATGGTTCTCATTTGCTGTTCTTGACTCTGATGTCTCTTCCTCTGAAGTTTCTCTATTTTTAATTTTTATTGATAATTCAGATAACCTTGCTTTCATCCTTTCTTCCATAGAGCGTGCTTTACTTTGTTGATGTTGATCGGCACAGCTGATGTCAAATTTTGATAAATCATCAAATACCTTAAATAATTAAAAACAAAAAATTAAATCAATATATCTCAAAAAGAAAACAGTTAAATCTGTTATAAAGAACTATTTATGACATGACAGCAATGCAGTAGCATTCTGATAATTGTAACATAATGAATATATAAGGAAAAAATAACTTTCAATATCAAATAGCATGCATTCAATTTTCTAAAGATTAAATAATCTCAGCCCTATGTTTGATTTTTTAATTTAGTTTTTAAGATCATTATGATATCTTTCACATTCAAGGTATCAGGATAGAACACAAACATTTTATTAGGATTTTTATTACAATCAGATTATTTCTCTGGCTCACTTCTCTCCTTCATTAGCCTTGAGAAAGATTGCTTTTCTAGCCTTCACTATGTTCCTAGCTGAGCCTTACATTGGATTGTAGCAGCTACAGAGAAAAGGAATGATAAGTGGACCTAGGCATGATGGGCAAAGAGAAAGCCATTGTGGGGGGGTGGGGAGGGAAAAGGCCCAACTTCTTGGGTTGGTGCGAGAGGAGAAAGATAAGCCAGGCTTTTCAGGAGTGATTGTAAGAAGGTAGGAGGCCCACACACCAATGGGTCTAGCTGGCTGAAACCTTGTGGCACATGGCAGATTTTCACGGACAAGTGGATCTAACCACTTGAGACCTTCCAAGAGTTGGGAGGGAGGGAGGGAGAAGACCAGGCCACTTGGGAATAAAGTGGAAGGAAGGAGGCTTGTGTGCTGATGAGACTAGTCTAAGGTGACCAGATTTTAACATTGGTAAAGAGGGACATTGTGGGCGTGGCTTATTTTGTGGGCGTGGCTAGCTGGTCATGTGACTGGGTGGGCGTGGCTAGCTGGTCATGTGACCGGGTGGCCATGGCTATGTGTATAGGGTAAGGTGAACAGATTTTTACATTGGTAAGAAGGACACCATTGTGGGCGTGACTTATTGTGTGGGCGTGGCTTGGAGGCCATGTGACTGGGTGGGCGTGGCTAGCTGGTCATGTGACCAGGTGGCCATGGCTATGAGTATAGGGACTACTCAGAGGGCTGAAAAGTCATTTCTGACAGGTCCTCACACTTTTGACTGGTCCTCACACTTATGACCATCCTCACATTTATGCCCATGCAGCATTCTTAACAACCATGTCACTCATTTCACAACTGCTTCTCTTCACCATGATGACAAGATAGGGCAAAAATGTAAAATGTGAGGACAGTCGTAAGTTCGAGGACTGGTCAAAAGTGTGAGGACCAGTCAAAAATAACCTTTTCAGCCCTCTGAGTAGTCCATATGCACAAAAGGACTAACCAGAGGGCTGAAAAAATCATTTCTGACAGGTCCTCGCACTTTTGACTGGTCCTCACACTTATGACCATCCTCACATTTATGCCCGTGCAGCATTCTTAACAACCATGTCACTCATTTCACAACTGCTTCTCTTCACCATGATGACAAGATAGGGCAAAAATGTAAAATGTGAGGACAGTCGTAAGTTCGAGGACTGGTCAAAAGTGTGAGGACCAGTCAAAAATAACTTTTTCAGCCCTCTGAGTAGTCCATATGCATAAAAGGATACAGAAATAGAGAGGGATGAAGGAAGGGAAGGGAAATTAGAGTAGAAGTGAGGGTAAGAGGGGGAGGAAGAGAGGAGAAGGAGAAAGGAAGAGGAAGTAGGGAGGAGAAGAAAGGGGGAGAAGAGAAAGTAAGGAAAGAAAAGAGAGAGGTGGTAGGTTTGAGGAGAAAGATTGCTGTACAATAAAAAAGATGAAAGGGAAGAAAGCCAACCCCAAACAAATATAAAGATATTAAGATAAAGAATGAATTGTTAAACTTTAAAGAATAAAAGAGAACAAATATGAATAAATAGCAATAATTAGAAACACACATACGACTTCCGGTTTGCTAGCCTTCGGCGGCGGCGGTGCCTTTTGAAGCTCCGCCAGCCCCGCCGCCCGTAGAGCCGCTTCGCGATCGAGAAGCGGCTCGAAAACTTCAAAATCCTGAGGATTGTTGGAGGAGAGATAGCAGGGCACAGGTCGAGCCCCTGTAACCCCCCAGGGAATTGTTTCTGGGGAGGAAACAGGCGCGGCTCCCTCCCAACCTGCTGAGACTCTGGCAGCGTGGGACGATTCTGCTTCTGCAGAACAAGCCGGCTGCAGTAAACATTTAAAGCGAAAGGAACCAACTTTAACAAGCAGCGGACATACACTTGAACCCTGAAACTTGGAATCGCAAGTATTAGCGCTTTGTTGATTTAATTTAAGAAAAAATGCGAATGAGTGAAAGTGACTTGAAAACATATGGCGCTCATCATTAGAGTTAACGAGCCAGCAAGTGTGGATTGGTGAAGTTATCTTGCTTTGTTACAAAGTTACCAAGTTGCTACAAAGTTGCTTCGTTTGTAACAAGAGAATAACAGAGAAATTTCTCCTTTTTTAATACTGGACTTTGCTTTACTTTGGTTCTTATTTGATTAAATCTGGGGGACTTTTTCAGAAGTCTTTGTGGAGGTGGGAGAGGAAGAAGAACTTCCTTTTTTAGTAAAACCAGCCTACGTGGCAGGATGGCCTCAAAGAAGCAGGAAGTGAAGGCAACAGGAGGTGGATCTCCCACACATAAAGCACAGCCTCCCCCAGTACAACAGATACAGACTCAGAAAAAAGATTTTGATGTGGGAGATTTAAAAGAATTTATTTCTAAAACTTTGGATGATAAATTTCAAAAATCTCAACAGGAGATAGATGATAAACTTCAAAAATCACATCAGGAATTTATGCAGGAAATTAATGAAGTTAAAGATATGGTGAAACAGAATCAAAACAAGGTGACCAAAAAAATGTCAGAAGTGGCGTCTGGCCTGGCAGAATTTATTATGAAAGTTGATTCTAAAGTTGAAGAACTTAAATCAGAAGTTAATGTTAAGATGAAAGACAATGATTATAAAATTGCTGATGTTGACAATAAAATGCAAAGAGTTGAAAATGAGATTGTGATGGTACAATTCAGGGCAATGGAGTTTGCCATACGGCTTCGAGGAATTCGAGAAGAGGAAAGACAGGATTTGAGACAAGTTTGTTCTGAGGCCCTGGCCAAGATTTTACAAGTTAATCCTGATGTGGTTTTTCACAAAATAGATAAAATTTACAGAGTGAATTCTTGGGTGGCCAGACAAAGACAATTGCCCAGAGATGTGGTCATATATTTTACAGATAGAGAAATAAGAAATGACATCCTGCAAAAATCCTTTTACACTTCTGTGCAAGTGGGGGGCTCACGAATTGGAATTTATAAAGAATTACCTCCTAAAATGCTGAAAACCAGAAAAGAATTTGGCTTTCTTGTTAAGGAATTGCAAAATCTACAGATACCATTTCGGTGGGACGCCCCAGTTGGTATAATTTTGAGATACAAGGGAGAAAGATATCGTTTGAATACCATGGAGAAGGCAGAGCACTTTTACACTACTATTCTTAAGGAAAGAACACCGTCCCCACGCACATCTACAGTTTTGGAGATTAAGGAGAGTGATGAGAAGCAACCTCAACGAGAACTGCAAGAACAGTCTAAGCAGGAATTAGAGGAAATGCAAGGCGCAGAAGGAGGTTTTCTGGATGAGCCTTTGCTGGAACCTTCTCCAATCTTGGACCCGGTTCGGATGATCGAAGTTAAGGATCAACGTATAACTCGAGCTCAATCTAAGTTACTTAAACAAAAGCAACAACAACAACAGGAAAGACAAGACAAGAAGGCAGTTAAGAGTACTGCACAAGAGACTGGAGCCATGGGGGGAGCAAGATCGAAGCTTTCGGATGATATTCGATTATTCTGCTCTTTGCTCCAGAAAGATGAAGATGACGTTTAAGTGTTTATCTTGGAATGTTAATGGGTTGAATTCAGCACAGAAAAGGAAGAAATTATTTACATATTTGAAACAATTTAATAATGATATAATTTGTTTACAAGAAACGCATATTACAACTCAAGATCAAAAATATTTGATAAACTCCAAACTAGGAACACATTTTATATCTTCAACTTCGCAAAAAAAGAATGGTGTGGTTATTTATGTAAATAAAAAGTTAACAGCTAAAGTTATAGAAGCAGATGAAGATGGTAGGTTTGTAGCAATTGAATTGCTTACAGCAAATGGCCAAATTCTTCTGATTGGAATTTATGCTCCCAATCAACAACAGGACCATTTCTATAAGATGTTACATACTAAAATACTGCAATGGGACCACAGATCTATTTTAATTATGGGAGACTGGAATGGAGTAATTGATTCTAAATTAGATAAAAAGAGTTTGGCAAAGTCTAGGATCAGATTACCACAGACCTTTTTTGACATGAAAGAAGATATGGAACTAAAAGATGTTTGGAGAATACATAATTCAAAAGAATTGGACTACACTTTTTTTTCTGACAGACACAGATCCTTCTCTAGGATTGACTTCATTTTGTTGACAGATGACTTACTTGTCAAGAGAAAAAGAACAAAGATTTTTCCAAGAACTTTGACTGACCATAGCCCAGTATGGATAGAAATTGAGATGGATAAGGTTGAGAGACGTTCTTGGAGATTAAATGAGAACTTGTTTAGATATGAAAAAAATACAACAGAACTTAAAAAGCATTTGAAAGAATTTTTTGAAATAAATCTGAATAAAGGTACCCCAATTGAAATTGTGTGGGACGCAAGTAAAGCTTATATGAGAGGGGTACTTATCTACATGAACTCTAAACATAGACTGTTTCGACAAAAGAAAAGATCTGAACTGGAAATAGAAATAAAGAATAAAGAACAGTTACTTATTAAAAATCCAACAGATGAAAGAATATGCAGTGCTATAAAACTTTTGAAAGACCAATTTCAAATGCTTATGGCGGAACAAGTTGCAACAAACTTACAATATGCGAAGCATAATACATTTTGTAACGCTAATAAACCGGGCAGATGGTTGGCTTACACATTGAGGAAAAAACAAAGTATACGGACTATTGATAGTATTGATATTGGAGGGAAAGAAATCTTTCAACAAAAATTAATTAAGCTTTTGTGGACTATTATACCAAACTATATGCCAAAGAGGAGGTGCAGAATGGACTTATAGAAAAATATTTAAACGATAAAAGAGTTACAAAAATTACTGATCAACAAAAGGAAAGAATGAATTACCCTATAACAGAGGAGGAGATAATAGTAGCAATTAAACAGTTAAAAACAGCCAAAGCTCCTGGCACGGATGGTTTGACCGCAGTGTATTACAAAACTTTGCAAGCTGAAATGGTGGGACAACTCAGAGATTTATTTTGCAATATTCAACAAGGGGGTAAAATACCCCCATCATGGACAACTGCTTATATATCTTTGATACCAAAAGAACAAGTCGGTCCTAAAAGACCAGAGAACTATAAACCAATATCTCTTTTGAATACAGATTATAAAATCTATGCGAAAGTATTAGCCAACAGGTTGATGCCAGTAATCCAAAAGGTGATTCATGATGATCAAGCGGGATTTATTGAGGGCAGACACATGAAGGATAATGTAAGGCAAGTAATAGATTTATTGGAATATCTTGAGAAGAATAAACAGATTCCTGCAGTGCTGGTCTCTCTGGATGCAGAGAAGGCCTTTGATAGAGTGGATTGGAATTTTCTACTAAAGACTTTAAAAAAGATGGATTTTGGGGATCAATTTATACAGGCGATTTCAGCAATTTACCAAGAGCAAAAGCACAGATCATTATTAATGGAAGTTTGACAACAGAGTTTAAAATTGAAAAAGGAACAAGACAGGGATGTCCGTTGTCCCCACTTTTATTTATTCTAACACTAGAAGTCTTGCTAAATACAATACGGGACTCTAATATCTTGAAAGGTATAATGATTAGGCAAGAGGATTACAGAATAAAGGCATTTGCAGATGATCTGGTTGTTACCCTATCACAACCAATGGAATCAATAATCTTGATGAAGGACATTATACAAGACTATGGTAAAGTTTCAGGTTTTAGACTGAATCCAAAAAAGACTAAAATGATAGCTAAAAACATGACACAAGATCGCAAACATGAGCTTGAAAGGAGGGCAGGTTTTGAGACTGTACCTAAGGTAAAATATCTAGGAGTTCAGGTTGCAGAATCAAACATGAAATTGTTTCAAAATAACTATGAGGTGTTGTGGCGAGAGGTGCAGAAAGACATGGAGACTTGGAAAAAACTGCAGCTGTCTCTACTTGGAAGAATAGCAGCAGTTAAGATGAACATTTTGCCAAGATTTCTTTTCTTGTTTCAAATGATTCCGGTGCTTAAAAGTGATAAACAATTGAAAGTCTGGCAAACTGGACTCAATAAGTTTGTCTGGAACGAGAAAAAGCCGAGAGTGAAATTGAAAATTATGCAAGATGTTCCAGAAAGAGGAGGTCTTAAACTTCCAAACCTACAGTTATATAATGATGCAGCAGCTTTAACTTTAACAAGTGATTGGTTTGGAAGTAAAAAGGCTGGAATATTGAACGCAGAAAGTTTTGATCTTGAATTTGGATGGCATGCTTACTTATTTTATGACGACAAAGTTGATAAAGTATTTAAAAGTCATATACTTAGAGGCTCTTTGATGAGAGTTTGGAAGAAGCACCGACTCAAATGGGATTATAAAATACCGCTATGGCTGGATCTTGGTCATACTTTGTGGAATACAAATATAATGTCACTCGGGGGGGGGGGTTTATACAAAGAGGTTCTTTTTACAGATGCGGGCAGATGGCAGTTGAAGACATTGCAGACACTGTTGGACGAAGGGATTAATCTAACTTGGTTACAATATAATCAATTACAACTGAGATGGAAACAGGACCAAAAAACTGGTATTATGTTGCACGAGGAAGAATTGGTTAGACATATAAAAGAAAAAGGTCCAATGCATATCAAAAGGCTTTATAATGTTTTGCTAGAAAGGGACTCAGAAACTGAATTAGTTAAAGATTGTATGATTAAGTGGGTACAAAATTTTGAAGAACCAGTGATGTTGGAAACATGGGAAAAAATTTGGGTTCAGAATGTTAAATTTACACAGTCGCAGAATCTGAGGGAAAATTTCTATAAAATGTTTTATAGATGGCATTTAGATCCCAAAAGTTGTCATGTATGTACCCTAATGTTCAGCCAAAATGTTGGAGATGCGATTGTCTGGATGCTACGTATTATCATGTTTGGTGGACCTGTAGGAAAGTTAAGGCTTTTTGGATAAAAATTTGGTGGGTCATGCAGAATGTTTTGAAGAAAAAAATTCAATTCTCTCCACAATTGTTTTTATTGGGTATAGTTAAGGGTTTTACATCGGGTGAAACAAAATTGATATTGTATATGATAACAGCAGCAAGATTGTTGATAGGTAAATATTGGAAAAATGAAGCTTTGCCCACTATTGAAGAATGGACTTTGAAGATGGCCAGTTTCGCAGAGATGGCGAAGATTTCAGCATACTTAAAAGATTGTTCACAAGAGACTTATGAATGGGAATGGAAAAGGTGGATAGAATATGTTCAGAACAAATATCAAACTAGAAAGTATCAAATAGCTTTTATTTGAAAATAATGTATTAGAAATATTTTAATGAAATGAGGTAAAAAGAAAAATTATACAGGGGAGGGAGGGGTTCAAGTTTACACATAAGTGTCATACTAAGGGTTTTTTTTTTTGCGTGTGTGTTTTTTTTTTTTTTTTACCAGTTATGAGTATATTATAGGGAAGTCTGGGGGGAGGGGAGGGTTAGGGAGGGTTAGGGAGGTTGGGAAGTTTGGGGGGGGAGGTGGGGGGGGAAAGGGGTGAAAATGTAATTGTAAAACTTTTGCAATAAAAAAAAAAAAACACACATACAAACATACAATGTATTTTCTTTGAACAGAGTATTTGGCCAGTTCACAAATTTAAACAGTGTTTAGTCATTTCAATTTAATTTACAATTTCTATATTTCCTTTTTGCCATATTTATTCCTCATCTATTTTTTTAAAAAAACAATATTACCCTTCATCCTCATCTCTAATCTTAATCAAATTCAATTTTTCCCTTCTATTCTATATTATACCCCTTCCCATTGTCATCTATTTTTATATCCATTCTCACATTGTTTAATTATGTAATTATGTAATACAGTTGTTTAATTCAAATTCAACATTTTAATATAAATCAATTAGTTATAAAACTATCTTTTTTGTATATTAATCAATATGAACATGAATATTCCAATTATTTCCATGCAATCCAATTTCTTACAAATCAATTAATTATATTTACCAATAATAATAAACCAAATAATTTCCCCCATATATTCCTCTGAACCACAACTTAAACATTTCTGCTTTCAACACAATATACAATTAATAGTATCTCAATTCAATTATTACAATTCCCTAGTTAAATACAGCTTTTTTTTCTTTTGTGTTTTAAAATCTTGAACTCTCCTCCTAAATTTCCCATTGTTTGCAGTTTTTCACCTACCTTTTTTGGGGAGGAAAAATAAAAATAAAAATAAATCTCTCTCTGCCTCATTTTGTCACGTTCCACCAAAGATCCTGGTTTCGGTTTCGTTTCTGCAGCTTAGCTAGGGGAAAAAAAAACTGCTTCAGGAACTCTTTACAATGATTGCCTGTAGGGCGGCCCTTTGAAGCCCCGGGCAAGAGTTTAAACAGTTTTTTTTTCTTCTAGCCATCAGCTGGGGCTCAAGAGGCAGCGGGACTGAGGAGGCAGAATGAAAAATCGGGACTTTTTTGAAATGCCGCGGGACGCGGGACAAATTGCTAAAAAGTGGGACTGTCCCGCCAAAAGCGGGACGTCTGGTCACCTTAGACTAGTCAGTCAAGGCATTCAGCTGGTGACAAGTTTCCATGTGCCAGTGGACCTAGCTGGTGGAGGCTCCCAGCCCACAGTGTGAGGGAGAGATGCAGCATTCCCACTATTGTAAGGGTGAGCATGGTGCTAAGCATCTAAAATTTCATTACATGACTGCAGGGGTGCTACAACACTCTGGGCTTGGAATTCTGGGCAGCGGTCCTAAGTCCTTTCATTCATCTTAAATTTGAATGATCATGAGTAGATTATCTGTACTAGATATTTAGTTATATACTATGTTACATGTATGGTTTTCACATTATAAAAATGGGATAGGAAACATTTTTAATTCTCACTGCTGAGAAGTAACATAAGTATGCACAGGAAAGCTGAACAGGAAATTAATCTTTTTTTCTATTGGCAGGATATAAATAAAAGAAAAATAAATAATGATGAAATCAGAGAAAAAATTGAAGCAAATCTTGCCAAGGAAAAAATAATCTATTTACACAAGCCTTTTCTTTTTTTATAACCCTGAGTTACAAATATTCTGTACAGGAAGATGCTGGAAATGGATGATAATTTTCATGACAATAGCAAAGGCAATGATTAATATCCATGGGAGAAGGCAGTGGTAAACCTCTCCTTCAGTTGATGATCAACCAAAAAAAGTCTGCAAATGCAGTTTCCTACAGAAATTTGATTTACTGAAATGTAATTCAGACATGAGAAGTAACATGACAGAATAAATGGGGCTGATTATTTTTTAAATATTTTTTAAAAGTTGTGCAAAATAGCTCTAGTCATGTATTCTATACTGCCAGCTGCCAGAAATTTGGCAATTCGAATCTCACTGGCTGAAGGTTGACTCAGCCTTTTAGATCAGTTAATTCAATGCCCAATTGTCATTAGCAACATACATATATTCATACAATTAATGGACCAATGATATTTAATAGAGCTTTCCACGACTGGCTGTGCTTAGGTTACTGTGTCTCTGTAATACAGCAAAGATTTTACCACTTGCCCCCCCCCTTTTTTTGGCAGGCTATAAACTGTAATCACCAAACTTTGATTACCTGATATGTACCCAAGTTGTTAGGTGGTTTTCTGTAATTTTTGCTTTTGCATAAATCTTCAGAGAGAACATTACATTTTCCCCATCTTCTTGATGTCTTTTCAAAGTCATGATAGGTTTTTTCATTTTCACTACTATCTGAACAGTTTAAACTGATAGCCTGTGGATTAAAATTCACATCCAATTCTTCATTCAACTCTGTTTTTCCCTCTCTGTATTTATTGTTACAAATCTCTTTATGTATTCCTAAGAGGCTAGATGCTATAGTCTCCCTTAAAGAATCAACAGGTGATATTTCTGAATCAGAGTATTCTGTCTCAATGGTAAACCCCTTAGGTGACGTCATAAGCTGGTATAATTCATTTCCATAACTCCATTCAGCTTTGTGCTGAGCTTCAAAGTAATTTGAAAGCTCCTGTGGCCTCTGCTGTAGCTTGTTCAAAGTCATATTCCAGTCACCATTATCTTCACTATCTGAGCCCATCTCATCATAAGCAGATACAATACTGGATTCTTCCTCCAAAGCTTTGAACACTTGGCTCTTAGGTTTGGCAAGCATTCGAGGACAAGGCAAAATGGCATTTTGCAAGGCTACCCAATTTCCATCTGTACTTTGCAAAACAGGAGGAAAATCTAAGGAAATATAAAAAGAAACTCCAGTATCATTATTATTGAATTTTATTGATCTAAATGCATTCTTAATTAGCTATTTTTTCAATCACTACAAAAAGTAAAATTTTGGTTGTTTTATATCTTATAAAGTTCAAGAGAATAATGAAGTTCGTATGAATTTGTATCACATATGATAAAGTACTATGAAAATGATTAATCACAATTTGATCTGATGAATTTGAAATAGGGCCATATTTTAATATTATTTAATATTTAATATTAATACTATTTTAAAGATTTACAAAACAATGGACATTTTGTTTTGCAATCCACACATAGTATTGGATAGATGAAAAACATGATAAATTCATTGTTATTTATTAATATTATTAAGAATTTGTTTAAAACCCAAGAGTGGTTGCAGTGTGTATTTTAGAATTCCTGAAAACCTAAATGTTTTTAAACATTTTGTATTTTCCTTGCAACTAGTACTGCTGACCATGAAATAGTCTAACAATTTCGCACTACATGGCAATTCAGTGCAAAGATAGGAACATCTTACTGTTCGTTATTAATCCAGATAGATTAACAGCCACCAATTATTTCTAGTGAAGGACTCCATTTGTTGGATTGAGCAAGAGTCTTGCTATTGATCTATTTATTATATCATCTAGTGTCCTTTCATTAGCAGAATTAATAGCTTGGAATTTCACAAATACTGTAGAAGAAGGTGGCTGATTTGAATATAAACTTAGTCATATGTAGAGAAATCAGTTGAAATTAATGTCATCTATGACCAACTGTTCCATTTATTGCAATTGATTCATATTATGCACAACTGAATCAACATAAGAATTTTAGGGAATAGGATGCTATACTTGATCTTAAATGCAAAGAAGCAAAATTTTAAAATTCTTGAAAATTAAAGCTATAATGTTTATATATAAAATCTTAAGTAGGCTTCTATGGGTAGGCCTCAATTTATGACAGGTTGCTAAATATTTAAAGTTATGATACATTCCCAAAAAGATATATATGACTCAGATTCAAAATTTGACAGCTGTCCTATCCCCATGGTCACATGATTGCATTTTGGGTGCTGAGCAACCCAGCCTATATTTAGAACTGTTTGCAGCATTCCATGATCATGTGATCACAATTTACCATGTTGAAAACTGGCATTTACTTTCTGGCAAAAAATGCCCATTGTATACAATGGGTTCACTTAACGACCACAGCTTTCAATTAATGACTGTGGTATTTGCCTTATGATCACCATATCCACTTAATGACTGCCACAGGCATAGCACGGCCTGGGCACAGCACGGAAATGGCATTGGTCGCGTTGGTGGATGATCTCTGGAGGGCTTGGGATAGGGGTTGTTCCTCTATCCTGGTCCTGTTAGATCTCTCAGCGGCTTTTGATACCATCGACCATGGTATCATCTTGCACCAGTTGAAGGGGCTGGGGGTAGGGGGCACCGTTCTGCGGTGGTTCTCCTCCTACCTCTCTGACCGGTTGCAATCTGTGTTGACAGGGGGCAGCGGTCGACCCCGAGGTGCCTTGCTTGTGGGGTGCCACAAGGGTCGGTCCTCTCGTCCCTTCTGTTCAACATTTATGTAAGGCCGCTGGGTGAGATCATCCGTGGCTTTGGGGTGGAGTTCCATCAGTACGCTGACGACCTTCAGCTGTACATCTCCACCCCAGGCCACCCCAACGATGCCCTTGAAGTGATGTCCCAGTGCCTGGAGGCCGTGCGGGCCTGGATGGGGAGAAACAGGCTCCGACTCAACCCTTCCAAGACCGAGTGGCTGTGGCTTCCGGCGTCTCGATATAGCCAGCTGGTGCCATCGCTGGCTTTTGGGGGCGAATCACTGGCCCCCACGGAGAGGGCTCGCAATTTAGGCGTCCTCCTGGATGCACGGCTGTCTTTAGAAGAGCACATGAGGGCCGTGGCCAGGGGAGCTTCTTATCAGGTTCGCCTGATACGCCAGTTGCGCCCCTTTCTGGATCGGGATTCCCTACGCACAGTCACTCAAGCACTTGTCACTTCCCGCCTGGACTACTGCAATGCTCTCTACATGGGGCTCCCCTTGGGGTACACCCAGAGGCTGTAGTTAGTCCAGAATGTGGCCATGCGGGGGATTATGGGAGCGACGGGGTGCTCACATATGACACCTCTCCTGCGCGAGCTGCACTAGCTTCCTGTGGTCTTCTGGGTGCCCTTCAAGGTGTTGGTGACCAACTTTAAAGCGCTCCATGGCTTAGGGCCGGGGTATCTGCGAGACCGCCATCTGCCGCCAATAGCCTCCCACCAACCAGTTCGCTCGCACAGAGAAGGCCTCCTCAGGGTGCCGTCGGCCAGACAGTGCCGGCTGGCGACCCCCAGGGGGAGAGCTTTCTCCGTGGCAGCACCTGCCCTCTGGAATGACGTACCCCCTGAGATACACACGATATCAGACCTCCGGACTTTTCGTCGGGCCCTGAAACACACTTATTTCATCTAGCCGGGCTGGCTTGATCCCATCCTCTCAGTTTTAATTGAATTCGGTTTTAATTGGGTTGTTTTAAATTTTGGGCGAAAATTATTTAATTGTTTTTTAAACTGTTTTTAAATTTTATATGCTATGTTTTATCTCGGCTGTACACCGCCCTGAGTCCCGCAGGAGAAGGGCGGTATAAAAATAAAATAAAATAAATAAATAAATAAACATGTTATAAATGTCATAAAGTTGGCATATGATCCACTAAGAACTGGCATGGCTGCTGACCTGTAATTCTGGGCTCAGTTATGATTTTAAGTCAAGGCCTACTTGTATGTACATTTAATTACACAAAGCTATTTTATTTTTGAGTTAGTGAAAGCACTGATTCCCTACTATTTAGTATATTCTTGGGATTCAAAATACTTTTCTAAACAGCATCTAATTATAAATGAAATACAGTATATATAACTGCAATTGCTTTTTGAAAGCATTTTTTTCTAGAGTTTAAACAATCAAATGCCATTAAATGTGACTAAAAAATCTGTTGGAATTTCAACTTTGGTAATATATTTAATAAAACAGCCATTTATCCTCAAGAGTAGCTGTTTAATTTAAAAGCATTGAAAAATACCTCAGGAGTCAATTGTTTGTGCCAAACATTTGAAATGTTTTTCCAAGCCAATTTTTAAAAATAAATTATTACAGCTTAACAAGTTAAGTTTGCACATGCATCAGCCACATACACTACAGATCCATTTATCTCTCACAAAACAGAACCATAAATTATGTTCTAAGATTTCAGGGGTAAAAAGCACAGAAATAATAGCTGAACAATAAAAACAAAACAGATACAACTTCTTGCATCCAGGAAGAGGATTAACTCATCTAGTATCAGCTTTTGGTATTAATGTCTACAGGAGGATGTATTTATGTGAATGGATACTGCAGAAGATCTAGTTACTGAGGCCTTGCCAAGAGCAATGCAAGGCTTAATTCTGGTAACAATAATACATTTTGATGAAAAGAATGATCACAGCTTTACATTAGAACCAAGCCTTTTTGTTTGCAAATTTCATGACAGGTTATAAATAATACAAAGTTATTCATTGTTAATGAGTTAATAACAAAATACATATTCCAATGGCTCAGCAGAGAGCTTCTGAATATTCCAAATGTATATTCTTGGAATATTTTACAGAAATGCTGTCCATTGTTTTCAAAATTTAATAGCTATTTTAAAAAGCAAATGACAAAGCAGTGACCATTCTCAGTCTGCAGATTGTTGATCTGCCTGATTCCTTCTTCTTTCCTCCATTCTAAAAGAACATGAAAAATAGCTATTTTTTCTTTGCAGAGCCAAGAAATATCATACGTATTACAGGCCTTTATTTGGTTCATTTAATTGGGCCACACTCTTCCAGCTGGGAAATGTAGACAGCTTGTGTTTTTGTTTCTTGATTTGGCCTTTTGGTTCCCTCAAGATAGATTCAAACACTGATGATGTAAGAATTGGGTCTTGGGCTGTAGCTTCATTAGTCAGTGAAAATGCAGACTGGGATCTCTGTTAAAAAAATGTATAACTTTAGGAAATGCAAGCTTGGAAAGGAGCCATTTTCTCAAGTTGCACAAAAAAAATGGAAAGCATGACATATCCATCAGCCAATGATATAGACTATTTTCTCCTTAACCTATTACCTTAATCAGTGACTGTTTCTCCCTTTTATATATCCTTTTTCCCTGTTGAAGTTATGTCTTTTAAATGATCACTAGGAAGGGAGACTGCCCTTTTTTTTACTGATTATATGTTAAGCTATTCTGAAAGCCTTTCTGATAGTAGAATTATATTTTTAAAAACAAATTAAATAAATATTGGGAATATTAATTAACAGAATAACATTCCAACATTATTTTAATGCATGTAATTATTAATTATATATATTGTAATCTACTAAGAAAGTCTCTCATGCATAGCCACAATAATGCAATTATAAAATATCCATAATACAAACTTAAAACATCACCTATCATTTTATAATAATTAAAATTTTAAAAAAGCTTAAAACATTACAGAACCACCCAAAAAAATATTACAATATAAATCACACAAAGAATATCTACCGCTGACCCAAAAGACACACTTGAAGAATGACACCTTCATAAGTTTTCAAATTACCATAATAGTCCTCAATTTACAATTACAATTGAGCCCAAAATTTATGTTGTTAAGTGAAGATTTGTTAAGTGAGTTTTACCCCATTTTACCCCATTTCTTGCCACAGTTGTTAAGTGAATCTGGCTTCCCTACTGACTTTGTTTGTCAAAAGGTTGCAAAAAGTAATCACATGACCCCGTGACACTGCAACAGTAGTAGTAATTTTATTTATGTTTTTTCTTTAACATATATGAGTGCTTAATGAACAGTATACTGTCTGGTTCAATTTATTTTATACACAATATTAATAACAATAATACTGTTTAGGTATACATAATAATCTTTCAACTTCTAACATTTACGTATACATTGTAATTATAATGTATTATATTATGTAGCAGTATACATAGTAATATTTTCCCAATTTCTACTTTCTACCTCTTTTTTCTAACTCCTAATAAAGCAATTCCCATATTGAAAGGTATTATGTATCTATTCATCATCTCTTGCCCTTTTTAGTATTTCAACTCTTATTAACATTTGGACAAATCTCCCATGCTCCTCTCTTGGGATCTTGTATCTCCTTACATCACTCATATTTAGTCTAATTCTTCCATTTGCCTCCACATCTGTCTCTTGCTGTCAAATCTCTAGAGCACTTATCAGTAACTCTTGTCAGCTTTGGAAGCCATATTAGCACCAGAAGCTTCCACGCTGCCAACTCCATGCGCCTGGAAAAGTAGGAGGGGGGGATTTAGGAGAATGAATATAGTTGGACATAATTCCCTTCGGTCAAGGTCATGGTGTTTATGCATCTAGAGGAGGAGTGGTTGCAAGGATGGCTCACATTGGGACGGATGATGATTGGACCATGTGACAGACTGATGGGTGAAGGGGCTGGATTTGGGGTTTTTATTTATTTATTTATTTATTTATTTGTTTATTTATTTATTTTATTGAATTTGTACACCGCCCTACTCCTGAAGGACTCAGGGCAGTGAACAGCCATAGAATAAAACATATAGATACAAAATTTAAAATAAACTAAAACGAATTAAATAATTTGGCTGAACAAATTTAAAACCCCAATAATTTAAAACCAAATTTAAAATTTCCATTTAAAAAGGGGAAAGACTTAGGTCAGGCCAGCTTGAGGAAATAAGAAAGTCTTGAGCGCGCGACGGAAGGTACGCAGATCCGGGATCCTCCGTATCTCCGGGGGGAGCTCATTCCAGACAGTAGGTGCCCCCACAGAGAAGGCTCTCTCCCTGGGGGCCGCCAGTTGACATTGTTTGGCCGACGGCACCTGGAGGAGCCACTCTCTATGGCAGTGTTTCCCAAACTTGGCTATTTTAAGATGCATGGACTTCAACTCCCAGAATTCCCCAGCCAGTATGCCTGGTTGAGGAATAGTATGCCTGGTTGAGGAATTCTGGGAGTTGAAGTCCATACATCTTCAAAGGGTCAAGTTTGGGAAACACTGCTCTATGGGAGCGTACTGGTCGGTGGGAGGCTATTGGTGGTAGCAGGTGGTCCCATAAATAACCAGGTCCTAAGCCATGGAGCGCTCTAAAAGTGATAACCAAAACCTTGAAGCGCACTCGGAAGATCACCGGGAGCCAGTGCAGCTCGCGCAGGAGAGGTGTTACATGGGAGCGCCACGTCGCTCCCATCACCACCCGCGCGGCCGCACTCTGCGCCTATTGGAGCCTCCAAGTGCACCTCAAGGGGAGCCCCATGTAGAGAGCGTTACAATAGTCCAGACGAGAGGTGACGAGGGCATGAGTGACTGTGTGTAGAGAGTCCTGATCTAGAAAGGGACGCAACTGGCGGATCAGGCGAACCTGATGAAAAATCCTCCCAGTCACGGCCGTCAAGTGCTCTTCTAAAGATAGCCATAAATCCAGGAGGACACCCAAGTTGCGAGCCCTTTCCATGGGAGCCAATGATTCGCCCCCAATAGTCAGTGATGGCACCAGCTGACTATATCGGGACGTCAGAAACCACAGCCACTCGGTCTTGGATGGGTTGAGCCTGAGCCTGTTTCTCCCCATCCAGATCCGTACAGCCTCCAGGCACCGGGACATCACTTCAAGGACATTGTTGGGGTGGTCTGGGGTGGAGATGTACAGCTGGGTGTCTTCAGCGTACTGGTGGTACTCCACCCCAAAACCATGGATGATCTCGCCCAGCGGCTTTACATAAATGTTGAACAAAAGGGGCGAGAGGACTGATCCTTGTGGCACCCCACATATAAGGGGCCTCGGGGTCGACCTCTGCCCCTCGTCAACACAGACTGAGACCGGTCGGAGAGAAAGGAGGAGAACCACCATAGTACGGTGCCTCCCACCCCCAACTCTTCCAACCAGTGCAGCATGATACCATGGTCGATGGTATCAAAAGCCGCTGAGAGATCTAACAGGACCAGGACAGAGGAGCACCCCCTGTCCCGAGCCCTCCAGAGATCATCCACCAACGCGACCAATGCCGTTTCCATGCTGTACCCAGGCCTGAAGCCTGAATGGAATGGATCTAGATACATCGTTTCATCCAGGTACTGGGGGAGCTGTCGTGCAACCACACTCTCAACAACCTTCACCACAAAGCGAAGGTTGGAGACTGGACGATAGTTAGCCAATACTGCCGGGTCCAGGGAAGGCTTCTTGAGGAGAGGTCTCACCACCGCCTCTTTCAAGGCGGCGGGAAAGACACCCTCACTCAATGAAGCATTTATAATCCCCTGGAGCCAGCCTCGCATCACCTCCCGGGAAGCCAGCACTAACCAGGAGGGGCACGGGTCCAACAAACATGTGGTCGCGTTCAGTCTACCCAGAATCCTGTCCACGTCCTCAGAGGTCACAGGATCAAACTCATCCCAGATAATATTCTCAGGACCTGCCTCCGTCATCCCCGCTGGATCTACCCAGTTGGAGTCCAGATCTTCCCGAATCTGAGTGATTTGTCATACAGATACTGAACAAAATCCTCGGCTCTTCCCTCCAAGGGGTCCTCCTGCACTTCCTGGTGGAGCAGGGAGCGGGTCACCCTAAACAGGGCGGCCAGGTGATTATCTGATGGGTACATTTTGCTGCTTTTATCGCCACTAGGTAATTCTTTTTTTTTATTGAAAAAGTTTTAGAAACATCAATTTTCCCCCATTTTTCCCCTCCCCTTCCCTCCCTTAACCCCCCAAATCCTCCCCACCCCCCATGACTTCCCCAAGGTGAAATCTATCCACATTTATTATATCAAAGTTTACCACCCCTCTATTCTCCCCCCTGTGTACTATACAATTCTTCATGACAATAAGCTATTTTGCCCTCTATAAACTATACATTTCTACACAACATTTAGCTAAAGGCTATCTGGTACTTCCTAGTTTGGTATTTATTCTGCACGTAATCTATCCATTTCTTCCACTCCCATACATAAATCTCTTGAGTCTGATCTTTTAAGTATGCTGATATCTTTGCCATTTCTGCAAAGCTGGCCATCTTCAAAGTCCATTCTTGAATTGTAGGCATATCATCCCTTTTCCAATATTGACCAATCAGTAACCTAGCTGCTGTCACCATATACAGTATCAATTTTGTTTCCCCCACTGAAAAACCCTCAACTATACCCAGTAAAAACAGTTGAGAAGAAAATTGAATTTTTTTCTTCAGAACATTTTGCATAACCCACCAAATTTTTATCCAAAAAGCCTTTACCTTCTTGCATGTCCACCATATATGATAATATGTAGCATCTAAGCAATCACATCTCCTCCACTAGATAATTCTTAATATGAGATCTTACCAGTGTCCGGTCAGATTCAGCACGACTGGCCCTCCAACTACTCTCTAGGCGTCTTTTCCGGCGCTTCATCTCCCAAGGAGCCAGGTGAGATCGACGCCAGGTCAGAGGCCACAAAGGCATGACTTGATCCAGAGCTCCAGCGGCCGCCCTATCCCAGGCGGCCACTAGGTCTCCAGTCGAGGCGTGAGCCAGAACCTCGGAGATTGGCCCAAGCTCCATCTTGAACCTGTCAGGTTCCATCAGGCACCTGGGGCGGTACCATCTTGTCGGTTCCGCCTCCCTGCAGCGGGTGCAGCGGTTCGAAGGTCAAGGTGAAGGAGAGTGATCTGACCATGACAAGGGCTCAATGACTATATCCCCTATCTCGAGATCACTCAGCCACTGTCCAGAGACAAAAACCAAGTCCAGCGTGTTTTCCCCCGCGTATGTAGGGCCATGAATTAACTGGGTTAGGTCCATAGCCATCATGGAAGCCATGAACTCCCGAGCCGCCTCAGACGCCTCACCCACAGACGGCAGGTTGAAATCCCCCATGACCATAAATCTGGGGGTATCAACCGCCACGATGGCGATAATGTTGAGAAGCTCGGGCAGAGCTGCTGCCACGTGGC